GACTCTGTGATCCCAAGAACACCCCAGAGACATGTGATTTTTCCTCCAGGATAAATTTAACATCATTGTGATGATGAAAATTTATTCCTCTTGGATTATCCAGTACACTACCTGGTTTGGCAATAAGTCTTTCCAGTTCCACATTTCAGGGGTCAACTGAATACAGAGGTGAGAACGTGAAGCATCTATCATCACTCTCTATAAAATAATGCTATTCCTTACAGTACCTCCTGAATATTAGTGATTGATTAAAATGCACATAACTCTCCATTGAGGAGGGATGACCAATAACACTGGAGCTACAATAAAAGCAGCCTCTGACGACATAAAAAAAAATAATAAATAAAATCTGACAATGTCACTTTTGTCCAAGGGGTGCTTAGGAGATCTCCTCTTCAGGGAGGCACAGGGATAAAATCCAGTACTGCACAGCAAACCTGTAAGGAAATTTATAGTATGGGGAGTCTAGGATTAATTACTGCAGTCCATGGTGCTACAGAAACACTTGGGGAAAGGGTTCCAGGCACAGCTAAACTGAGTTAATTGTAACAAAACTAAGGTTTGTAGCATACTGAATTATCAGAACAGGATGGCATCCCTTCCCTCCAGTGTGTCACCCCACCACACACTATGGTGTCATCAGCAAACTTGCTGAGGGTGCACTCAATGTCACTGACCATGTTTCCAACAAAGACGTTAAATAGCTCTGGTCCCAGCACAGACCCTTGGGAAGCAACACTCATCACAGGTTAGGGTTCCTACCTCTCTGTTTGCTTCTCTTTGTCTATCTGATACTCCTTCACTGTGGTCAATTGGAAAATACCTAAGTAACTAAACTTCTTTAGCTTGACTTATTTTAATGGCTAACAGGAAGATGAGCATATTGCAGGACTGTTCACCTTTTTTGTCACCATCTTAACTGTACAAATTTAAATCAGGAAGATGTGAGAAAAGGAAAATCAGCTGTTTGCTATTTCTTTGCTTTAATTATTTAACTCACTGTGTGAGATTGGTGCAAAAATAAACTGAAATATATATCTGGACTTACCCCAGAACAGCAATGCCTCTTTTTTTTTTTTTTTTTTTTTTTTCTTAAAAGAAAAAGAGTAGTAACTTGGAGACCTATATTTGCTCTGTGCTTGTAATTTCCAGTAAAGTCAACAACTTTCAGCTGATTTAATTTAAACACAGTACATAATAAGCTGAAAAGTATTTCAGAAAGATGAATCTTGCAGATAATATCCGAAAGCACTCAAGGAATAATGGGTTCAGAGGGGCTTCTTCAAGCATAAAATCATCTCCAAATCTTTTCTTGTTGGATTTGATTACACTGTTCACCTCTTGGAAGTATTTATTACCTTAAAAGTAATACAGAAAAAGAATAAATTCAATACAGGTTTATATTTAATTTATAAAAAATAACATACCTATCAGCAGACTGAAAAATGATGGAATCTTGTGAACAGCATGGCTTGTTTTCCTTCAGAGAAAAGAGCAACACATTATTTTGAGAATAAAAAGATTTTCAGCGGTGGGAGTTCTTTGTCATCATAATTCTCCCTTTACTGCTTTGCACAAGTACCACATTGGTTTACACTAGTGGCATTAAGAATGCTGTGCCACTGTAAATAGTTCTATAAAAAAAAAATCCTGCCATTTCTACTCTTTGATTCAGCAACACAAGTGTTTTGTTGTTTCTTTAAAGTAAAAAATGAGGACCAGCTTTGAACCATCTACTCCTGTAAATTAATTGGATCTCATATGTAATGAGTGTTTTGGGAGAGCAAGAGACTACTGAAGAAACCAAAGGGAGCAGTATGAACTTCCAGGTTTGTATGGATAAAACTGAAAGGGAAGCAGAAAATGCTGTAATTCTGCAAAGGTTTATCACATGCTTTTCATCAGGGCTCCCATTATTCCTTGAGGGACTTTGCAGATAGATTTTATTTTTAACTTTAATCTGCAGCTCTGGTTCACTCTACCTGTGTGCACTGGGTCTGGCTGGGATGAAGATATCTTCCTTCACAACACCTCCATGGTGCTGTGTTTTGGATTTGTGACTCGAACTGTGTGGATAACACAGCAGTGTCACAGCTCATGCTGGGCAGTGCCTGGGATCTCTCTCCTTCCCCTCAGCTCTGACCCCACTTTCAAGACTGTTCTGCACCTGGGGGGAGGGAGGTCAGAGAGAGACAGAGCAGGGTTCTTTCTGCATCTCCATAGGCACAACAACCAACAGCTTAATAAAATACTTATTTTAGTAAGATAGAATAAAGACAAGTATGTAAATAGTGATTCAGTCTTAATATCTGCTCAGCCACTGGGAACCCCAAGTTTTCAGAGCACTAGACAGACCCCAGGTGGACTCTCCAGCAGGACATGGTGCAGGTCCCATCTGTGGAGAGGTTCCTCCTCCCTCCCTTACCCTGGTGCCTTTGATTTTGTGTAACAAAGAAAGTCACAGATATCTTGTGATAGGCTGGGCTGTCACCTCTGCTACGACACCCACCAGCACGCAGAGTGGGCCAGCACAGGGCACCCCAGCAGAGTCCTGTGCAGTGGCTAATCATACCAACTAAGGGCTAATCAAGCTTTTTGTACAGCACCCAGACAAGCAGATACACCTTGCTCAATAACCCCAGCTCCTCAAATACTACATATTTTGCAGGACTCCCAATACACCCTCCCCAGAGAGCAGGCTGCTGGTGGGAATGGTGAATAAATTGATTTTTAGTTTGCTCACACATGTAGTTTGTGCCTTCACTCTTAGTGTGCAGTTGTCTCAGCCTACATGTCTTCTTGCCTTGTTTCTATTTTTCTCTCCATCCCACAAGAGAGGGTTGCAGGTGGCTGCGTGGGTGTCTGGCTATTAGCTGGGGTCATCACACACTGCAGCAGGAGCCGAAAGCGTGGCCAGAACCATAGTAATTTTGTAATTAATTTTTTAACTTTCTCTTTTTAACAATACTGAAAAAAAAACTTTGAGAAATAAGAATGGCAAAAGATTTGCAAGACCACTATAAAGAAAGTTCTGACAATCGGGTACATGCTGTCTGAAAAAAGAGACTGAATTGAAACTCATGTGTCTGTATCTAAATGTTAATGTCACTGGCCTGCCTATGTTAAAGAAGATGAGTAAAGATCAGAAATGAAAGTGGCAACAGGGAAAAGATGCAAAATACTGGGAAGAACCATAAGACTGGTAAAGCAATGAGACAAGCTACCATGACAAGTTGTTAAACCACCTTCATATTCATGGAAACCATACATCAACTTGTGGAATATGATTAACAATAACAAGATCAGCCCTGACATGAGATATGACTACAGACTACAGACTACAGATAACTGCTGGAGGATGATTTTTATTCACATATTTATTTGAAAACTCACCGAGATTGATCTCATCTGGTGTAATGGTTCTCCAGCTTTTTTTTTTTTTAAATCAGCATTATTATTCCATGTTGACAAATAACATGGTTTCATAGATACATGAATTAAAACTAAACAGTGAGTATCTTTCTCACTGTCAGCACGCTTCACAGTATTTTTAAGAAGCTTGAAAAATGACAAAGCTGCATTTTATAGCCATGCATTACTGTAGTATGACCAGAGCAGGGCCACTGCGAGCTAAAACCTCTGCACCCTGCACGGAGACTGGAGGCCGTGGTGCTCCCCAGAGGGTTGCCAAGGGCACTCTGCGTGGGAGGGCCAGATGTTTTGCTCTTGCTGGCACTGCAGTTCTGCAGCTTCTGGTTCTCCACGCCACGCAGAGGCCTCGTGCAGATCAAGAAGTCCTCTCTGTACACCATCTTCACAAGAAAAAGAGAACTCCTCATTCCCAGGGTTTCCTAAACTGGACGATGTTCCACCGTGTGCTCCCTCTGGGCCCTAACCCAGTTCACTTGTACAAGCCAGTGTTTCATGCCATGAGAAGATCCAGTGGAGCTCTTGGAGCAAGTCCAGAGGAGGCCGTGAAGATGATGGGAGGGCTGGAGCAGCTCTGCTATCTCAGGACAGGCTGGGAGAGTTGGGGTGTTGAGCCTGGAGAAGAGAAGGCTCCAGGGAGACCTGAGAGCAGCTTCCAGTGCCTGAAGGGGCTCCAGGAAAGCTGGGGAGGGGCTTGGGACAAGGGCAGGGAGGGAGAGGATGAGGGGGGATGGATGAAAAGTGGAAGAGGGAGATTGAGGTGAGACATGAGGAGGGAATTCTGTGCTGTGAGGGTGGTGAGAGCCTGGCCCAGGCTGCCCAGGGAAGCTGTGGCTGCCCCATCCCTGGAATCAAGGGCAGGTTGGATGGGGCTTGGAGCAGCCTGGGCTGGCGAGAAGTCTGTTCTACTCTGCTCTGCAAATGCGTGAGCTCCCCAGTCACTTCCTTCGATGCTTGTTGTGCACCTGCACTCTTTAAAGCAGGAGAAAGAGCCTTTCAGGGCTCCCTTTAAGAGATTCAGAGATAAGTAACCAAGTGTTGTCAGGCCGGAATGCTGGGCAGGCTCAATTCATCCTTATGAAGCAAGCACCGACTCCCTGCGGGGAAACTCTAACCGAGACGCTGAGAGGGCTGTGTGAGAGGAAACACTTGGTCCCTCCTCTCCTCCTGAGCGGGACGCCCCGCGCCCTTCCCACAGCCCAGCAGCCCCTGAGGCCTGGGCGGGAAGGCGGGTTCCCCTGCCC